AAAAAACTCTCAATTACTTTGCAGACAAGAAAGCATTAGAAAGGTCATAAGTGTTGAAGCAAAAACAAAGCTTAAGTGCGTAAAAAGCATTGCCATTACAAAATAAAAGACTTGAAATGATTTACCATTTCTATAGACCGTGGATTATAAACTTTAGTGACGTTGCCATGACAATATGCGTAATGACGTTAAACGTTAACACTGAAGAACTCATGGATGTTTATGTATGGCCGTAGATTTGGTCTGGAAAACAACTGTGTGTTGAGATAKCTAGAGGCAAATATGAATCAAGTATKTTGAAAGTAGAGTATGCTTAAGTCAAAAGGTGAGTCTGATTTTGTTTTGCTTGAAATATAGCCATTAAAATTCCGTTGTGTTTCGCCATAGTTAACTATGGTTTCGCTAAGTCTTCGTTCAGTTATTCAGACATGTTATGTGACTTAATGCAAGCTGGTTTCTTTACTAAAATTGTCTAGGAYGATTACCTCTCAGCAAGGATTTAAGAAGATTTTAAAATTGTCTATTTTCAGAAGATTAAACCACTTTAGTCATTCAATATGCTASCAGCTAGTTCAGATCAGTTTTCGACGATCAGACCGAACGTCGTTCGTGCATATTCATATGAATGCAGCTCTGATTCGATTTTCGCTGGTCAACACTTAAAAACTCAGCCATGTATAAAAATGAGTTGATCCTCTGAATGATCGATTGGTTTCTTATTTCGCTCAGTACGATGTACAAYTATATCAAAATATTCACTATATGCCTCGCGCAGCGCGAAAAAATTAGCACAATATCTTCGCATCACGATTCAATATTTTAATCATTGAGCTAAGATCGTGCCGTGAGGAATAAAAGAACGGTCCTCAAAGCAACTAAAATATTGAAAACTAATTGAATTATCTGCCCAAACAATAAATCACAATTACTCATCACGTGATTTTTAGTTGTCAATCAATAACAAGTCATACTTCAACCCATCTGTAATTATGATCATATTTTCAATTATTTTAATAGAATCAGCTGCATTATTTATGAATGAAGTCACGATGTTGGTTTAGGCACGAACAAACTACTGCGTTTCGCTCATTTTTTGCGTGAAATCTTTGTTTGTCTTTTTCGGTTTGTCTTATATGAATATTGACAAGTTAAAACTTTGCATGATATCAATATATTATTTCGGTATTATCGTCGTGTACGGGAAACCTCAGGGGAGTAGTTTATTGTAATGTAAATTTACCGTATGCAAATTATCCCGACCATAATTCGTGTTCACTTCGTTCTTATATATTAATTATTTAGTGAAATGTTAATGAGAAATTGATTAATACTAGAAAAAAAGGAGTGCAACCAAGCGAATTCACTCGTGGCGTAACCGGTTAGGTTTAGGGTTAATGATCGGATAGGTCATATTGATGGTTTTCAACCATTCCCAGGAGAGAAAGTTGAACAAAAGATGTCCGCCATTGCTGGTGGACCTGACAAAAGAAAACCACCACCGTGACTGGTGGACCTTTTTGTTTTGCTCACTCTCATGGGAATGGTTGAAAACCATCAATTTAGGGTTCGCAGGTTCGAATCTTATCTGCGGGATCAATTTTTGATAACCAAAAACCTCAAAATATTTCTACTAGTCCCACTCGTGTGTTCGGAAACATATGACGTACTTGGTTACACGGTACACGACGATACTACCATTATTTCTCTGCACTGCGCACATTGCGTTGGACAACCCGTTGACAGTCAGTGTGATGCGTTTTCCATCAGCTTTGATTTGGTGTCTTGTAACTGTCATTTATATAAGACTAGAAATGTACATTGGGCTTGATATATTATACATATTCAGTGCTGAGTAAAGTTTAAATGCAAATGCAAGCAGAATTTAGTCGCCATGTATGGCTGTAACACCGAGAATATTCCTTTTGCAGCCATAATGCCTCTCGATCAAGAGATGAACGACTTCAAGAAGGACATTCACAGGCACCCTCCTATGAGACTGCAATCAAAAAAACGCAAAGACCACAAAGATGTMATGCACGCCATGGTAGATGGTTTGTACGACGAGTTGATGGTGTTGAGCCAAGAAGGTGTTATCGATGAGGTAAACGAGCAAGGATRCAGTCCTCTGCAAATTGCTGCCCGCCACAATGACGTTCCTTTGATGAAGATGCTTGTGAACGCGGGTGCAAATGTTAACGCTCAAGGGTTTGGTGGCTACACGCCGTTACATTTTGCAGCAAGGTAAGAGTCTGTTTTTGAATAATTATTCTATTTGTTTTGATTGTAAATGAATTCAACTTCGATCGGCGCACCAATGAAGCATGGCATCCATTAGTTTCGCTCAAAACGTTCTTCGCTTGAGCTTCTAAAAATCCTTTTATTCAATTATTTATTTGTTTATTTATCTTTTACAAGAATATTGTGTGTTTTTGATTGAACCTTAAAGCCTGATGAGAAGTTTTAAATGTTTTTTTGATTGACATTACTTTATAATGACATCATCTGTTTCAACTGACAAGCTGTTCAATACATAACGCAGAAAGTGTAATAATCGGATCTTCATGCTCATTAACAAACACACTCTTCTTACTAGTGAACAAAACTTTTCAATTAACAAATTGCAATGTCAGTTCAATTGTTTTCTTAAAYTTAACAAATAAATGGCAAGGGAAAATCACATCTTAAGGAGAAAAAGTTTTCAAACTTTTATTTAGTTATGTCAATTAATATATATTTAATAAAAAAATAGGAAGATAAATGATAAAGACTCCGCAAAGGATGCGTAAAAACAACTTGAATGGTTGTATAAGCTCACACATCCTGTAGTTAACTAAATATAATTAATCTTCCTTTCAGATTTAACAGTGTCGACGCTGCAAAGTTTCTGCTTGAGAAAAACGCTGATGTTACGATAAATTGCAACAGYGAAACAATTCCTTTACATRTTGCTGCAAGGCTCGGATTTCTAGAAGTCGTTAAGTTGCTTGTRAACAAGGAYATCAGTACTATCAATRSTAGGGCGCAGGGYRATGTGACGCCAATTTACCTTGCTTGTAAGAACGGAGATCCTGCTCTTTGCAAATGGCTGATTGCAAACGGAGCAGATATCACTTATGTGACTATCGAGAACAAGACACCTCTGCACAACGCCGCTTTTAATGGGAATTACGATGCTGTAAAAGTATTGATTGAAACAGGTTAGTTGAGCTACATTCGTGAACGAAATACCTTGAATAACATGAAAAATGAATCGCTCATAATTGCTCATCCTCCCTTTCTATATCATTGTAATGTCTTATTCAGGGATGATTCTGTCCTATTGTGCCGACAGCATTTCAGTTTAGGACTTAGGGGAGCATTTAAAAGATTGAAGAAATAGTCGGCCTCAAGTTATTGTGTTTTTTTTTTCCATCTACCTCGATGTCATTTATACTTTTCGAATATCGCTTAAACACACTCACTAAATTGCACTATTTCATTATGACGTCACAGTATGTTTACATCGAAAAGGGATGCTCAAAAACAGTGGAAATTTGGACTCGTTTATATCGTCTACTAAAGTAGAACTTCAATGAATCGTGTTTTGATATATATCATGTATAAATGATTGTTAATGTACATTTTATTTGATATGCAGTCACTCTGATCCCTTCTGGCGACCATAATCCTTAGCGTTAAAACAAAAGAATGTTTTGATGTGACGTAATAATGAACTAGGGCAATTTCAACTMCTGTTTTAGCATCAAAGAAGCTCTCAAACGTCAAAGACTATGTAGATATCACAGAATACGAGGGCCGCACTGCTCTTCATTTTGCCTGTCTCATGGGCCACGATAAAATAGCACAGGAGCTCATTTCCAATGGGGCAGACGTACATGCGCAGACGACGGCAATGAAAGAGAGTGTTTTACATCTCGCTGTTTGTGGCGGWAGCGTTGCAATCTTGGAGACTCTACTAAAGAACGGTGCAAATATAGAGAGTGCTGACTGGGATCATAGAACTCCGCTGCACAGGTATGATAACAAGATTAAATATACCTTAGTGTACCAGGGGGGGTCCGGGGGTGTCAGGGGGACGGATGCCTGCCCTCCCTTTGGCAAAGTCCTGCTTAAATACAAATAGAAATATAAATGGTCTACATAATTAACAGACAGACTTGATAGATGTGCTACCTCCACTCTCCCCTAAAATCAAAATCCGCCCCCCCTAAAATCAACCCCCCTCCCCTAAAATCAAAATCCCCCCCCTAAAATCAAAATTCTGTATCCGCCTCTGCGTCCTTAGTGAGTACAGCAATATATTCTACGATCTGTCACTCACTAAGTCACTCACTCACTCACTCACTGACTTTCCTGTAAACTGCGTTGTTGCCTTAGTACACTGCTATCTTTTGACTTATTCATCTTCACGGTCTACCTGTAAAGTTCGCGGAAGAATATTGATTGACTCAGTTTCATACGCTATAACAGGGCAGCTGGCTCAAACAACGTTGAGGTGATAAACTTCCTCTTAGACAAAGGAGCAAAAATCGWTTCCATAGACCTCAAAAAGCTGACACCGTTTCTACTGGCAGTGAAGAAAAACAGCACGGATGCCGCGGCTGTTCTATTAGAACGAGGAGCAAACATGAAGGCAGCTGACATTGACTTAATGACATGTTTTCACCTTGCTGTGAGAAACCAGAGCATTGAAACACTAGATGTCTTGATATCAAAAGATGACTGTTCTTTGATACGAAAAACTGAGATGCAAATTCAGAACCCCTTGCACTATGCCGCAGCAATCGGGGATRTAGAGGTAGGTACTGCATTTTTTTGCAATTTTTCCTCGTCGCAGAAATCTCCAAATGATTTCAATTCAATTTTTCAGGCAAACCATAAGGCATTATCCTAATTTGACGAGTAGGATGTATAGCTATTTCAAAAAAGGTTGTCTGATAAAATGGTGAATGTCAATGGTCGAACGGCGATTGAACGACCGAAAGTAGCCATGGGTTTTGTTAGTTGAAAGGCAATAACAACTGATTTGTACTGTAAGATGGTCTGTGGTAAACAYTGGCYWCATTTAGTCTCCATTTCTATGTAAGGTGAATCCAATAAGTGAAATTTTGTTTATCAAAACRGTGTAACCATAGTCCCTTTCGGTCGTGCAATCTTCCTTCGCCGTTCGCTGTTCTCGGCCCCGACAACGTTTTTTGAAATAGCTGTACATGTATACACGGAGGCTCTATTTCTATAATTGTCAGTAACATAAGGAATATTTCCCAAATGATATGCKTTTGGTGGATAAATGGCTCTTAAGCCCATGAAAGACAAACAAACATTAATATAATGACAAAACAAATTTAATTTTTTTTGTAGATAATTAAAAAAATCCTGCCAAAATCTGAACTTGACGATGTCGATGCCAATGAAATGACAGCGTTGCATATTGCAGCGTTGAACGGTGCAGTTCATGCAACGGAGCTTCTTGCCAGGGCATCGCCCAAGAGTATAGGCATTCAAGACAGAAATGGAAGGACTCCTCTTCACTGCGCTGCTGAAAATGGATATAAGTAAGCAAATTGTAATGTAAAGGTACCTTAATCCTCGGAAACAAAGGGAATTTTTAAGGGATGTGTKGGAGGGATCAGTGTGGAGATTGATRCTTGGTCTCCCACTCAAAATGCCCTAYGTTTCCGGRTTTGARTACATRTAAAATCCAAATTTCAGACTTTTKCCATATTCATTTCATTTTTAGTTTTGTTTTGTTGGTGAATCCTGAAAATGGTATATATATTTTTTTTGACCACGGAATTCTGTAGGAAAGGAAACGGCACCCCGTCGCGGTTCCCTGATCATCTTATTAAATATAAGGATTATTTAAGGAAAATTTTTGAAGGTAAAGGAGGGCCGTATAGCATTGATTATAGCGCTCTGTGTATATGCTGTCATTTATGGACCCTAATGTCTTCATTATCTCCTTGCAGGAAAACATGTGGAGTTCTTCTTGAGCTTGGTGCTCACATAAGCTCACGTGACTACAAGAGACGAAGCCCACTCCATGCTGCAGTCGAGGCTGGTGCCGTCACCACTGTCAAGCTCCTTCTCTCGCAAAAAGATTCTCAGCTTCTATCGATGCTTGACGAAGATGAAAACTCGGCAATTCACTTGGCTTGCGCTAAAGAGCAAGTTGAAATCGTCAAAGCTTTGCTTGATAACGATGATGATGTTACTATTCTCAACAAAAAAGGTCAAACGTGCCTTGATATTGCCATAGATTGGGAAYTAGAAGACGTGGCTACTGTGCTTGTGAAACACGAAAGGTAATTATAATTATGACATTAATTAAATGGTGATGAGAAATGTTGTCATATATGGTAATCTTACCTTATATGGAATTWYGWGTGGACTGGTTTTTGGCGATTTTCTCGACTTTTAGAGTTTGAAATCGCCTGGGTTAAACACRAAAACACTTCTGAACAATCGGCCATTTTGTTTGTTTCCATATATGGCATGGATTCGCTAAAGGAAGACGAAAACTAAAAAGCACAKGGAACCCGCACGAATGACATACAATGGTCGATGGTCTTAGAGTTAAACATGCATGCCTCCCAACTGAAAAATCCTTGCTCTTGCTATTATTCTTTGTTTTTACTTATAGTAAAGATTATTCTTAGTGTGCTATATATGCTACGGTACGACAAATTGTTCATTTCAGCTTTCATACATCTCAATCTTTTTTTTTCAGATGGTGGGAGATAATGTGTACAAAAAATAAAGATGGTTACGGACCAATGAAACGACTTATTCAAGTTCTACCAGATGTTGCAAAGATAGTCCTAAATCAGTGCATAGATGCCTGTAACCTCCCCTCTCACAACAAAGATTACTGGGTTGAATTTAACTTTAAACTTCTTGATCCTGGTCCTGATGATCCTCCYGCTCTCAGGGGGGAGCCTTTTGATGGACCAACGGTGATGGTTGAAAATAATCAAGAAGATCTRTTRAACCACCCCCTGACACAAGCCCTTYTGCGGTACAAGTGGCTAACGTATGGAAAAGTGATATTTTATTTGAACTTCTCTTTCTTTATTGTTTTAGCAATACTCTATACGTATTTCATAATTTCGGAGAGGGAGAATGTCAAAATATACTACTCCTCGTCAAAAAATGCAACAATTGTCCAGAAGAAGCTTCTGGAGACTGCAGATTCCCGTTCTGTGCTCAGTATTGCCGGAGCTTTAACTTTTATGATCATAATTCAATTCATAAAAGAGATTTACCAACTAATTCTTTTGAAGCTGGAATACTTTAAAACGTTAAGCAACTATATGGAGTTGGTGTTAAACATAACTGCTCTTCTATTTCTCCTTCCTTATTTGGCTGGTGACGTTCTGTACTATTCGAGTTCTGCACAGTGGAACGCGGGTGTTATTGCACTGTTCTTGTTTTATGTGGACTCCTTGTTGTATATTCAACGCCTTGGACAAGGAGGAATATACGTTAGCATGTACTTTGAAGTGTGGTATTCGTTTATCAAACTGCTTGGTGTATTTATTGTTGTTTTGTTTGGATCAAATGCTGTTTTCTACGTACTACTTAGAGAGGAGGTAAGTTAAATCATTGGGATTCTTGATTGATCTAATTTTATTTCCAATTTCCATTCTCCTGAACACTAGAAAGGGCTAGACCCTAATCACCCCTCTTAGATCCATCCTTAAGACTGTCCTAACCTCATTATAAAAGTTTCAACTTGTCTCTAACCTCTCTGGCTTAAATACACATAACCAATCCATATTCCCTTTTTTTAATTACAGGACAATTTCAGTACCATGTGGTTTTCCTTTGTAAAAACCACAGTTATGATGGTTGGGGAGTTAGATTACTCTGATGTGTTGTCTGATAATGTGGTGAACAAGAACATCAACCCAAAGTCTGGAGTACCGTATGTTCCACTCCCTGAAATAACCTACATTCTCTTTGTAATCTTCATGATTGCTGTCCCAGTCCTTCTCATGAATTTGCTGGTGAGTTTCCAGTCCACTAGAGTAAAGGCAAATACTAATTAATTGTCGACATACAATGTCGGTCTTTCAATACATATTAATAAATAAATGATTTTTTAATTAATTGATTGATTGATTGATTGTTTCTTGCATTGCTTGCTTGCTTGTATTACTTGCATTGCTTGCTTGCATTGGTTGCTTCCTTGCGTGCGTGCGTGCGTTCTTTCTTTCTTGCTTGCTTAATTGCTTGATTGATTGCTGACTGTAAGGATTGCTTGATTGGATTAATAGACTGATCGATTGTTTGGTTTAATCACCAGGTTGGTATTGCTGTTGGTGATATAGAATCAATTCAAAAATCAGCGTCATTTGCCCTTGTAAAAGATCAAGTCAAGTTCGTAGTAGATGCGCAGGATAGATATCCCAGAAGGATCTTACAACTTCTGTATCGTGATACTATCAGAGCACATCCAAATCAAAATAAATTTCTTACTCGGTATGTATAATATATCGTCATGATACTGGTGAATAATCATCAGCATTGCCAGAAAGTTACGTCTGTTTTTATACCAAACACATATCTGCTTGCATTGAAGTTCTTATATGAAATTAGGGCAAATACAGTCTCGTTCACGGTTCCTTTGACATCTTGAAATGTAATCGTGCCTTGCTTCGAAGCGAGACGATCCTTGAGCGAGCAATAATAGATGATAGACAGTTATTCACAGGTTTCTAGCTCTATCACTGTTCACTGATCATCTTGCTTCGATGCAAAGCACGGCTACATTTCAAGATGGCGCAGAAAGATGGGATTGAGAAATAGGATTGTGGCTTTAGGAAGATTGAACATTTCTGATTCATTTTTTTATAGATTTCTATTATCTGGTACCAACGTAAATGACGATTCTTACATCCAAACGCTACTTAATATAAAGTCTGTAGTAAACAGTGACAAGACGAAAGAGGAGCAGGAAGATCCATTCGAGAGACAAAAAGTCAAACTGCGTGAATTAGAAGCAAAGCTTGATCGACAGCACAAGTTAATGACTGCAATAGCAGAGAAGATTGGAGTTGTGCTCACTAATGAAAACGACACGCAGTTATGATGAAAACACGTACTTGTACAGAGAAAAACCGTGAATGTATTGGCCAAGATAGCAAGATATAACGTGAACGACTGGGAGATATAGATACAGAGATATATACAGCTGTTTTTCTCCATTTTATCGGGGATAAGTCGATCATATTGCTTTGTAATTAAGTTTCTTTTTTAAACAGTGTGTAAATACAGACGACACTTATGATCTTCCAAGTTTTTCCCATTTAATTATTATTTATTTTTTCTTCATTGTAAAAAAAGGATTATTAAAAAGACGGCATAGGCATTACCTTATTTGGCTACAAAACTGTTTAATATGAAATTGCTCACTTCGCCTCGTTATCTCGAAGAACAACTCCTTTACTCGAAGAATAKTACTAGTAAACCATGAAGRTTTTTCTGGTGTCACTGGTACCAAAGTCATTGTCATACTTTTATTACACCTTGTGCTATGTCTGCTAACCCACATTGTTTT